CCGGCCCCGCGTCCGCAGCAGGTGCCTCTTGCCGTGCTTGGCCACCACCCCCGATGGGGACACCCCTGAGCTGCCTGCAGGACAGAGAGGACTCTGTACCCCATGTCCCTTCCATGGAGATGCCCTTCCATGGAGATGTCCCTCCATGGAGATGTCCTATGCCATGCCAGCTCCCGAGGCTCACCTTCCAGGTGGATGATCTCCCCGTCACCGCAGTAGATACCAGCGTGGGCGCCCCACCAGCCAGGGCCCCCCGATGCCAGTGGGAAGAGGAAGAGGTCCCCAGGCTGGGGCTCAGCCACCCCGTTGGGGACGATGTGGAAGTGTTGTCCCAGCAGCCCCTCGCAGAGGAAGAACCCTGCCGTGGTCACTGCCCCGGCCACTGCCTGGGGACCCAGCTGTGTTTCAGGGCCACGGGTGCCCTGGGGACACCAGCAGTGTCACTGACCTGCTGGCTCATCCCACACCACTGGTGGCTTAGGCACAGCTTGGGTCCAGGTCTCCATGGATGGAAACCCTGTGGGAAGGGGCTGCCTCCTCCAGGTGCTGAGGCACCCATGGGTGCCGAGGAAAAGGCAGGGTGGGCAGGACGTGGCTCAGTTGTGCCAGGGGTGAGATGGCAGTGCAGGGCACAGGGGCAATGCCAGCACTTACCTGCCTGGAGCTGCTCACCTGGAGGGACAAACACCTTGCATCAGCCCCAGTGGCACGTGTGGCATGGCTCAGCCCTGGCCTGGGCTGCTGCCACCCCCTGCCCGAGCCGCTGGCTGGGAATCTCATGCCAGCACCCCCAAACCTGCCGTACCCAGGAGCCCAGCCAGTGCCAGGGCTGGAGGAACAGCCAGTCCGGGGCTTGCAAGGCCTGAAGGAGGGAGCTCACCTGTGGGGAGAGAGGGCAGGGCAAGACGAGGACCCGTCCCCTTCTGACCCCCGTCCCCTGCCACCCCCATCTCTGCCAGCACAGCCCAGCCCAGCCCCCCAGGCCACAGCCTGCCCCCCCAGCCCAGAGCCAGCACCAGGCAGGTCCCAGCTGTGGGGTCCAGGGTCCTGGTACCATGGCAGAGGGGTGGGATCACCTGGCTGCAGGTGTCCTTCCTGCCGGCTCCCCCTTTACCTGGGCGAGGAGATTCATCTGCAAGGAGAAAAGACCATGTCCAGGAGCTGGGGACAGGTACCCCGTACCTGGGGTACTTCTCTGTCCCCACAGTCGTGGTGACACATCACCCTGCTGAAACCCAGGCTGCAGCCTCAGGGCTCGGTCTGTGCCCTGCTGCCTCACCTTGTTCACCTCCAGGGTCCCCTCGGTGCTTCCCGAGCTGCCGCTGCTCCCAAGGTGCCTGCGGGGCAGGGGCAGGAGCTCCGCCCGCCCCCAGCACCGCGGTGGCTCCTGGCAGCGGCACACGGCTCTGGGAATGTGCCCCGACCGGCTGCACCGTGGCACCGTGCCCATCCTGGAGGGCCAGTCCCAGGGGGACAAACCCAACCTGGTGTGACATTTCATCCACAAACTTCTTGGGTGACCCCAAAGGAATCAGGAAACAGCCCTTGTGGCCACAATGCCTTGGTAACCACTGGCCACCAGGCTTATGACAAATCACCTCTGGGTGCCAAAACCCTCTGGCCCTGTGAGGCCATCAGCCTGTGCCCGTCCCCATGTCCCAGGGATGGCCACCAGCCTGTCCCCAGCCCTGTTACCCCAGAATGCTGCATGCCCGGGGTCAGCTCCACAGTCGCATTAAATTTTAATCCTGGTGCCAGGGGTCAGTGAAGGCTTTAGCAGGGCTCAGGTGGGTGACTGTCACCCTCTGTCATCGGGCAACCTCCAAAGAATCATTTATCAAGGAGCCTCCAATAAACAAGAGCTAATTACAGGTGAAACCCGAGCCTGGCCTGGGCCCAGCTCAGTGCAGGCGGCCACATTAACCCTTCCCAGCCACCTCCGGTCCCACAGCCACCCTCCTGGAACTTCATGTCGCCTTTTGTTGGTCTTGTCCCCTTCTGATCTCTGCCATCCTCTCCTGGTCCCTGTTGTCTTGCCCACATGTACCCATCACACCCTTCTCATTGCCATCCTCCCCTCCCAGTCCCCGTCATCCCACCTCAGTCCTTACCATCCCCTCATGATCTCCATCACCCTATTGCATCCCACTGCCCCCTCATGATCTCTGTCACACCTTCCTGGTCCCCATCATCCTCACATTGTCCCTGTTGCCATGTCCTGGTCTCCATCATCCCTTCCTGGTCACTGTGCTCACCTCCTGCTCTTCCCATTTGTCATTGTCTCGGGGTCACTATCTAAACATCCAGGTTCCCATTGTCCCCTCATGATCCTCATTATTGCCTCCCAGTCCTCATCACCTCCTTCTTGTTCCCATCACCCCCTCCTGATCCTTGTTGTCACCTCTTGGTCCCCATCATCTCCCCTCCCTCTCCCATCAGCTCCTCTTGGTCTCCATCATCCCTTCCTGGTCACTGCTGCCATCCCTTGATCCCCAATATCTCCTCCTGGTTCCCATCATGTTCTCCTTGTCCCCATTGTCTCCTCCTTGTCCCCACTGTTCTGTCCCATTCCCCACCACTCCATGCCATCACCAGCTGGAGCAGGACTGCCAGGACAGTGGTGCTTCCCTGGGTCACTCAGTGTCCCCAGCCAAGCCGTCCCTGGCCAGGGTGCATCCACCAGTTCCCCACAGCCAGTGGGATTAGGGCGGCTGCAGCCCTGGGGCTGCTCCTGACCGCAGCTCTCCAGCCCATCGCCAGCATCTTTAGGTAATTAGTAAATTAGTAATTAAACGCTCTCTGCCTGCTGGGGGGAAGGGGGGCAGATCTCAAGGTTTTAGGCTGGGTAATCCCGTGGCATCTGCCCCAGCATCTGTGACCGAGCCGAGTCACGACCCCGCCTCGGGCTTTAATGTTTGCTCCTTCACCCCCACCCGCACCCAGAGCCCCTCCAGGCCTGCTCGTGTCTCACCCAAACAGGCTGGGCTGGGCTGGGCTCCCTGCAGGCCCCAGTTGGGTGTCCATGGAGCCCTCATCCCTGGGAAGAGGACAGGGTGCTGCTCCATGGGGATTCCACCACAGGGACAGCACCCATCAGGGTGCAATGGAGAAACGGGGTGGGAAACCATATTTTTGTAATTATTGGCTTTCCTGGGGGTGCTGATGATTGGCTGGCAGCAGATGGTTGGCCCAGCTAATCCCCCTCCCAAATCCCTGCTCCAGAGCTGGCTTTTACCCAACGGCAAGGAGGGGATGGTAAATTAGCCTAACTCAGCTGCACCGCCATGCTGGCCCTCCCCGCTGTCTCTGGTGCTGGTGGCCCGTGTCCCCACGGAAGGGCTGGCACCCGGTATGCCAGGGTTCCTGCAGCCCAGGGAGTGTTCCACCCTTGGGTGAGAGGTGTGGAGGCGCCCAGGGGCCGGGCAGGGAGGTGACAGCTTGCTCCTTCTGCATTAGCCCAGCGTCATAATTCTGCCGCGGGAGGAGGAGGCGGCCCCTGCCGCAGATGGTGGCGGTCAGAGATCTGGGTCAGCACGGGGCTGTGGGTGGGACAGGGCACCCAGGGGAAATGGGGGGTCCCAGGCTGGCAGGGGGCTGGAAGGGCTTGGAGCTGTGGGGCAGGCAGGGATGGGGCCATGGTGCAGGCAGGGATGGAGCCGTGGTCCGGGCAGGAAGGATGATGGAGCCATACAGTCAGGGAGGATGATGGAATGTCACTGCAAGTGGGACCATGGAGCCATGGTGCAGGCAAGGCTGGTAGAGTGAGTCACAGTACCGACTGATAAAGTGGAGAAACGCTTCAGGCAAAAGGGATGGAAGTAGGCTGTAGGCAGGAGGATGGAGCCATGCTGCAGGCAGGGGGATGGAGCCATGCTGCAGGCAGGGGATGCAGGAACGCTGCAGGCAGGGGGATGGAGCCATGCTGCAGGCAGGGGATGCAGGAACGCTGCAGGCAGGGGGATGGAGCCATGCTGCAGGCAGGGGATGCAGGAACGCTGCAGGCAGCGGGGATGGAGCCGCATCAGTCGAGGATGCCGCAGGGGTGATCCCCAGCCCCTGGATCCACTGGAGTCACTGCCGCCAGCCCTCAGCAGGGACCTGCCGCCAGGGCCCGTCCCCTGGGACACCTTCAGGGCACCAACACCCCTGAGCCCCTCTGGAAGGGGCACAGCAGGCCGGGAGCCCCTGTCCTCAGCCTGGCCCATGGCTGGGGACAGGCCGGGCCCGTGACGGTGCCACCCGCCACCCCCCTGAGCGGGGCGGGGGGGTTTAGCGGCTAAAGCCCACAAATCCCAAATTGTGCTGCCCTGTCACCGCGAGGGTTTAGCGGTGGTTGCATAACCCCGGGGCCACCTGGCCCCCACCCTGTGCCGTGTCAGCAGCCCCAACATCCGTGGAGGGCCCCGGCCCCGGGAGGGGATGCTGGGGCCCAGCGGGGATCCTACCGAGCATCCCCCCTGCCCTCGCCATCAGGGCCGGTAATTAATTACTTGGGGGCAGGGAAATTACCCCCCTTAATTACCACTTTTCGTTATTCCCCTCTAACCGCCTTAGTGAAGGGCTTATGCGCTTACAGGACCTGGTGGGTCCCAAGGGGAGGACGACGCACACGGGGGGTCCCCAGCCCCGGCCCCATCGCCCTCCTGTGCCGCAATCTCGGCCCCGCAGTGCCGGGGGTGACAGTGACACAGGGTGACACCTCCTCGGTGGCGCGCGGGGGGGTGGCTTGGGTGTCGCGGGGTTTAGGGTTACAGGGCTGGGGCTCAGCACCTTTTTAATTCTTCATCGCGTGGCTGATTGATCCCCCCCGCCCCGCGCAGACACTAAAGATTAAGAGGGTGACAAAGAGGCGGCTGCTTACACAGCGCCCGCCGCTAAGCCTCCTTGAAGAGAGCAAGGCAGGAGCCCCTTCGGCCGCAGAGCTGCCCGAGCCCCCAGCGCCTGGCCGGAGCCTCCGCGGGGATCCCCAGGGACAGACAGACGGACAGGGACAGGCCGGGATGGCTGCGTCCCCGGCGGGGTCGGTGGTGAGCGCCGGGCTGGATGAGAACCCCACGGGTAAGAGGCGGCGCCGCTGCACCGGGGGTGACTCGGGGGGACACCTGGGGATTTTCTCTGGGATGGCCGGGCCCCCACTGTGCTCACGCCCCAAGATGCTGGGGGTCCTTTCCGAGTATCCTATGGGATACTTGGAATTCCCATAGTGGTCAATCACCTTGGGGTCCTCCATTGCAGTTTTTATCTGAGATCCCTGGGATCATCATGGCCTTCTTCTGGATGCCTTTGCTCCCATCATGGTCCTTCTCTGAGATATCTGAGGGTCCCTATTATGGCTCATCTCCAAGACACTCAGTGTTCCCATCATATTTGTTTGGGATGTTTGGGTTCTCCATTGCCAACCTTTTCCAGAATGGCTGGGCTTCTCCTCATGGTCCTTATCCTGGGTGCCCAGGGTCCCCATCATGGTCTGCTGGGATGCCTGGGCTCTTCAGCTGCCATCCTTCTGCAAGATGCTGAGTCCCCATGATGGTCCTTCCCTAGGCCAGGATGCCTGCAGTGCCCGACCCTCTCCATGGTCCTCACTTGTGTTTGTTCTCCAGGATCCCTGAGGTCCCCAGCTGTGCCCCTGCTCCAGGATTCCTGGGGTCCCCTGTAAAAACCTGGATACTCTTGGTCCCTGGCCCTTTACCAGGATCCCCACAGTTCCCTGCTCCGATTCTCATCTGGGGTGTCCCATGTCCCCAGAGCTGTCCCTTCTCCAGGACTCCTCCCATCCCTGATTGCAGCCGTTCTCGGGGATGCTTCGTGTCCCCCTCCCTAAGAACATCATTTCCTCCCTTTTTTAATTTTCAAAATTCCTGTGAGAGCCCATCCTGCATGGCTGGGCTGTGGGAAGATGCTGAACCCTGCGTGGAGTCCCTGAGGTGTCCCCATCCATGTCCCTGGGCTGAACCAGCAGAGACAGGAGCCACCCCATCTCCAGGCTGCTGGGAGGCAGCAGGGGCTGTGGGTGGGACGAGGGACATTGGGATGCCCAGAGTCAACCCAGATGTGACAGTTCCCCTCCCACAGGGCTGAGCCCAGCCCCTGGGAAGGAGCTGAGCCCGGTGCTGCTGTGCAAGGTGTGTGGGGACACCAGCAGTGGGAAGCACTACGGCATCTACGCCTGCAATGGCTGCAGCGGCTTCTTCAAGCGCAGCGTCCGCAGGAAGCTCATCTACAGGTGGGAACAGGGGCAGGGAATGGGGCACAGAGGGGCAGCCAGAGGGGCAGGGACAAGAACCAGGGTCCCATGGACAGACACCATAGAGGAAAGGACACCCCAGAGGGCAGGGACCCCGGGAATGGCCACCCAGGGATGCAGGGGATGGACACAGTGGGGCAGGAGTGGGGGAATGGGCACCTGGCAGTGTAGGGACACCCAGCAGAGCAGGGACCCCATGGGATGGGGCACCCAGCAGGGAAGGGATGGACCCTGTGGGACAGGGACACTGCAGATGGACCCAGCAGGACAGGGAGCTTGGGGCAGGCCCCCAGTGGGGTCGGGTACCCTGGGATGGACACTCAGCAGGCCAGGGACCCCAGGATATGGATAATGGGTGGGGCAGAGACCCAGAGGGAGTTAAAACCACTCAGGGGACAGGCATGCATGGGGAGAGGCACCTGTGGAGAGGGTGTCCAGAGCCCCCTGATGGGGCCAAAACACCCATCAAGGCAGAGCATTCACTGGGACAGGGCACCCACCGGGGACATGGCACCTCTTGGGGACAGGGCACCCATGGTTGTGGGCACTTGGTGGGTGGAGGGAACCCATGGTGGGGAGACATGGTACCAATGGGGGAGGACGCTCCTCGGGGACAGGGGCCACCTCAGGGGCTGCAGCCATGTGCCACCTCTCCCCATAGGTGCCAGGCAGGGACAGGGCTGTGCCCAGTGGACAAGGCTCACCGCAACCAGTGCCAGGCCTGCCGGCTCAAGAAGTGCCTGCAGGCTGGCATGAACAAGGATGGTAAGATGGGAGGGACACACAATGACAAACAGCAGTGGGGACAACGGGGTGGCCGGTGCTGATGGCACCTTGTCTGCCCAGCTGTGCAGAACGAGCGCCAGCCCCGCAGCACAGCCCAGGTCCAGCTGGACAGCATCCAGCTGGATGCTGAGCTGCCCCCTGAGCACGTGGCCACCACATGTGACGTTCCCCCATCAACCTGTCCGGCTCCTCGTGGTCCTGGTGCCACTGTCACCCCGGGTCCCCGAGCGCCCACACCGCCCACCAACCATCGCTTCATGGCCAGCCTGATGACGGCCGAGACCTGCGCCAAGCTGGAGCCCGAGGACGGTGGGTGGCTGCCAGTGCAGAGGGGGTGGGTGCGTGGTGGATGTCCCCACGGTGTGGTGACAACCAGTGTCCTCTCCCACCCCTGCAGCTGATGAGACGGTGGATGTGACGGGCAGCGAGCCGGAGCGGGCGGCTGGCGAGTACCAGGTGGCGCCGTACCCGGCAGCCAGCCCCGAAAACATCTACGAGACCTCAGCACGGCTCCTCTTCATGGCCGTGAAATGGGCCAAGAACCTGCCCGTCTTCTCCAACCTGCCCTTCCGTGACCAGGTGGGGTTGGCAATCTCCATGAGGAATTGGGGATCTGCCTATGAGGCAACAGGAACCCCAAATAATGTAGCAGCCAGTTGGAGCATGTCCACAACATTCCTAGCGTTCCCCTGCAGGTGCTTGTCAGCCTGACCAGCTGTGGTAGCTACAGGTCCTGGAGGCTTTGGGGTGACAGGGGTCTTGGGGCTCTCCCCGCTCTCCCCAGGTGATCCTGCTGGAGGAAGCATGGAGTGAGCTGTTCCTGCTCTGTGCCATCCAGTGGTCCATGCCCCTGGAGAGCTGCCCGCTCCTGGCTGTCCCTGAGCCGGGCCCTGGGAAGCTGCTGCCGGCCACCCTGGACGTGCGGGCGCTGCAGGAGACCCTCGGCCGCTTCAAGGCCTTGGCTGTTGACCCCACGGAATTTGCCTGCATGAAGGCCGTGGTGCTCTTCAAACCAGGTGAGGCCACCCCCAGCAGCCACCACTGGCCATCCCCGTGTCCCCCGCCAGCCTGTCACCCCCTTGTCCCCGCAGAGACCCGTGGCCTGAAGGACCCTGAGCAGGTGGAGAACCTGCAGGACCAGTCACAGGTGATGCTGGGCCAGCACAACCGTTCCCACTACCCCGGGCAACCCGTCAGGTACCGCTGTCCCCACCTCCTCAGGGTGCCACCAGGGTGGGACACCCACCCATGGCCACCGCTCCATCCCCAGGTTTGGGAAGCTGCTGCTGCTCCTGCCAGCGCTGCGCTTCATCTCCTCGGAGCGCGTGGAGCTGCTCTTCTTCCGCCGCACCATCGGCAACACCCCCATGGAGAAGCTGCTGTGTGACATGTTCAAGAACTGACCCCCGTTCCCGCTGTCACCTGGCTTGTTTGTCACCCCGCGCTGGCACCCTGTCACCCCCAGCCTGGGGCTCCTCAGCCTGGGCTCTGAAGGTGCCCATGGTCCCATCTCTGGGGCAATGTCCCGGACTGTGGAACGCTGCCACAGCTGGGAGGTGGGAGCAGCTTTCCCTGGGGGATGTCCCCAGTGAGTGCCCAGGGCGCTGCCACCACCCCACTGGGTCCATCTCCATGGTGTCCCAAATGCTGGAGGAACCCAGGCAGAGACACCCTGGCACCATGAGGAGCTACTGCCACCCAGGGGGCAGCCTCGGGGACACCAATCCAGGGATGATCCAACCTGGCGTGACACCAGCCAGGGTGACAGCAGCCAAGGGTGGTGACACCTGGGGGTGACACCAGACTGGGACAGCCTCAGGTTGACCCCAGGCCAGGGCTGACCCTGCACAGGGGTGACCCCAGGCTGGGTGACACGCGGTGACAGACCCTTGTCCCTGCGTTCCGGGGTCTCCCACTTGTGTCCCCCGTTTTGTACTCGGAATAAAGAGAGTTTTGCAGCCAAAGTCCCTGTGCCAATGACTTGGGTCCCCTTGCATGGGGGACTGAGGGGGACCAGCTGAATGTTAATAACCCAAATAGGAAAAAATAAAAATCAATAATCTGAATATAAGTACCTTGAAAAGAAATTATCTGAACAGAAATAAACTAAATATAAATAAAATTAGTATAAATAATCTGAATTAAATAATCAATATAAGGAAGATAATAGAAAAATAAGAATAAAAATAAAATGAAAATAAATAACCTGAAATTATCTGAATATTAAAAAGATAAATATAAATAATATGTTTGGAAATACTAGATTAGAAAGAATCTAAACAAAATAATTTAAATAGAAATGTAACAAAACTAAATAAACTGAAATACTCTGAATAGAAAATAACTGAAAAAAACTATCTTAATTTAAGTAGATTAGTATGAATAATCTGACTAGATAAAATGGGAATTAAATAGTAAAAAACAGAAATAAATTAAATTAAATAATAGAATCAAATGCATGTAAATTATTGGAATATAAATAGCTGCTTTGAAGTCTCCTTAAATAGTCTGACTAGAAGGAAAATAAAACTAAATAATCTGAAATAATATCAATAGAAATAAATTGAGAATAAACAAACTGCATATTAATAAGAGAACCATAATGAATCTCATTAGAAATCAACTGAATTAAATTATGCGGACAGAATTAAAATGAAATAATCTGAATAGAAATAAATTGAAAATAAAATAAGTCATCTGAATATTAACAGTCTGCCTAAAACTAATCTATAGAAAAAATCTGAATAATCCAATAGAAATAATTGGAAATTATCTGAATGCAGAAAAATTGAAAAATTGTCTAAATATAAGTAAAATAAAAATTATCTAATTAAAATAATTTGTATATAAAGAATCTGTATACACAGAAGTAACACCAATGTGAATAACAAGTAAAATAGAAACTCTGTGCACATAAATAATGAGAATGTGAACAAGCAGCATTAAACAATCCAAAGGGAAGTGATCTGGAGCCCTGGCTCCCCATCCCCATGATTGGGATTGGGAAAATCCACAACTCCACAACCCCATGGAACAAATGGAGCAAGCCCCAGAGCCCCAGGACGTGGGCAGGGGGTGGCAGGAACGATGTCCCACTGGGAATTGTTGGCCTTTGCAGAATGACACTTTTATTTGTCCGTTTTTGTCAGTTTGTACAAGGTTCCGAGCGCGGGCGACGCGGGATAATATATCCTCTTACATACACACTCTGTTTAGTTTACAAGCAGCGACTTTATAAATTACTTAGAAAACTTTCCGTGAAAAATAACAATAATTCCCCTCGCAGCCCTCCAGTAGTCAGTACATTCAGCCCTCTGGAAAACCTCTGGGACCCCAAATCCTGCCGGGGAAGGGCTGGGAAGGGGCGGGGGAGCTGCCGGGGAAGGGGAGCCTGGAACGCGCCATTGTCCCTCCAGTCCTGCTCACTCCTGCCACAGCTGCACTTTATATATGGATATATTCCTTTTACATGTGTTTTTATTATACATATAACCACAAATATATTATATATATATAAAGAAACATATTTTCTATATATTCTATATATATTCCATACATTTATCTATGTCAAGAAGTCTATTTTTTTATATATTTTCCCTACATTCCACACATTTTTAAATATATGAAGAAATAGAGAGAAAATATATTTCTTTATATATACTATATATTTCCTTTATATATTTCTTTACAGAGAAATACTCTTTATATAAAGAAATATATAAATATATGTGAAGAAACATATATAAACATACATATTAAACATATATTAAATATATGTTTAAATCATATAACATTAAATATGTTTCTACATAGAGAAGAAATACATTAAAATATATATAAAGTAATAACTATTCTTTATATATAGTACATATCTCCTTTATATATACTTCCTTATATATAGAAATATGTAATATATATACATAAGGAAATACATAATTTCCTTTATATACTTCTTTATATATAAATATATAAGCATATATAAAGAAATATGTATTCTTTATATATAGAATATCTTACATATTTATATATAAATATGTACTATATATAAGAAATAGAAAATACATAAATGCATTTAGTCTTAATATTCTTTTATGTATTTTTTAATTACACAGAGAATATTTATCCTTTTGTGTGCATATTTTCTTTATATATAGAATATATATATTATTACATATGTTCTTTATATATATAAATATCACTTAAATATATTTTCCTTATATAGAGATTAAATATATATAAGGAAAATAAATATATCCTGAAAGAAATTAGATAGATATACATACATATATATATATATACACACATATTCACATACATAAATACAAACACATGTATATGTGTGTGTTTATGTATATATATATGTATTTACGTGTATGTATATGTATATATACATATATATTTGCCCCAGTCAGATGTGACATCCCTGCTCTCATCCCACAGGGATGAGAAACCTGAGGATGAGGCTGGACCCTTCACTCATGCCCAGGATCTCCTCCCCTGGCCATTTTAAGGGCAATTCTGGGGTTTTTAGCTCAAGAGGCTCAGAAGGCTGGATTGGCACCAAGCACTCGCAGCAATCCCAGCTCCCAGAGAATCTGGGATGGCTCCCCAGGAGTTTCCACTGTTGTGGCCACCAGCTGCCTTCCCAGTGCATCCACGTCTGTCCCCAAGGCCCTGTTTTCCCCTCTGGGACAGGGAAAATCCCATTTTCCCCCATGGATGGGGTGATTCACCGGCTCTTGCCCCACTCCCAGGACGCAGCGCCGAGGCCGATGCTGTTCCCGCTCTCCCTGCAGCATCTGTCACTTCCGCCGTTGGAAAAAAATGGAAGATAACATGAAAAAAAGTCAAATTTCAAATATCAAATAAAAAATTACCCCAATAAATAAACCATCCCTGGAAAGGGCAGGGGGAGAGGGGATTGAGGAGCAGCTCAGCCAAATCCAGTCACGCTGGGAAAAGACAAAACACTCAGGAAAACTCAATTTTTTGCTATTTCCCCCATTTTTTGTGGCATTTCAGGAAAGGATAAGCCCCAGCCCAGCCCACCTAGGAGGACAGATCCAGCCTTTGTAAATCTAATAATTGCCCTGGGGCTCCTGATTTTGCCTTTCCAGAAGTTTTCTGGTACCTGGAGTTTCTCCAGGTGCCACTGAGGGTGATGATGAGACTGGGGAGGGATTATAAACTGAGAAGCTGAGTCAGTAACTAGCATCATTAATTAGTCCTATGATGGGTTATGATGGTATAATTACACCTCAAGGGATTTCCTGCTGAGATTAATAAAACTCCATGTTTTATTGAGTGATGGCCAGTGACACCAGTGGGGACACCAAGGATGGCTCAGCCAACTGCTCCCCTCCTCTCCCACTCAAAAATAATAATAACAATAATAATAATAATAGTAAAAAAAAAAAAAAAAAAGTTCTGGGCAAAAATAAAAAAATTAAAAAAATATATATTTACACAAAAATCCAGGAACCAGCATATAAACAAATATCACTTCAAGTAGTCCTCGATTATTATTAATTATTATTATTTTTTAATACTGATGATCTCGAAAAGACAAAAAAAAAAAAAAAAAAAGAAAAAAAAGGAAAGACAGTTAGGTCTTGTTAAAAAACCAAAAAAAAACCAAAGGGAAAAGGTGATTTTTGGCAGGTTTCAACACTTTTCCATGCACTTGGCGTTGGCGTGGATGAGGTGGTTAAAGCGCGGAGGGCTGGGCTGCAGTGGAGCAGCTTGGGATGCTCCCGTGGGATTGTTAGGCTGGGTTTGCTCCCACCAGCAGCGATGGCGATTCGGCACAAGGATTTGGCGGCAGGTGCTCCCAGACGTGGGATGCTCCGAGGGGAAGGGCCAGGAGCTGTCAGTGCCTCCCATCCCCGGCCACCCCCGGCCACCCAAAGGTCTCAACTCCCCCAAATCACTAAGGCCACCATTAAAACCGTTGCCTCCAGGCCTTTTTAATTAAGAATTCATCTCCTGGCATTAACGAGGAAGCCATCAGAGCGCTGCCAACGGGGAGGATGCCCCAGCATGGACACGGCTCCAGGGTGGAACATCTCAGACCATGAACTCGTTGCTCCCCAGGAGGACAAGGGGTTGGGCAGCGGCGCAATCGGCCTCAGGGTTCCTCTTGCGTCCCCCTCCAGGCCCCCCGTCCGGGGGCTCTTTGGTTTTTGGGGGGGAAGATTTCACACTCTTCAGTTTCTGTTTGCCCTTCTCCGGGTTGAAGGTCCCGCGCGTGGTGAACTGCGGCCGGTCCTCGGGACAATGGAGAGGCCCCGGCAGGCCATCGGGGCTCGCCCGGCTCTCGGGGGCCTCGCCATGGTGTCCCCCTGCCCGGTAGAAAGGAGATTTGGAGTACATCTGGAAGCGCTTCCGGGGCAGGTGGGGCAAG